CGTGAAGCTAAAATTGATTTTCTAACCCATGAATATGAGTTGTTTAAAATGAAGGAAATTGAAAGCGTTGATCAAATGTTCGACCGATTTTTAAAGATCATCAACGATCTCCATGTCCTTGGTAAAACATACTCGAACAAAGATCTTGTTCGAAAAATCCTTTGGAGCCTAACACCGGAATGGCGTTCAAAAGCCGATGCCATATATGAGTCGATTGGTAACACCAATGTCACCATCGATGGTCTTCGAGGTAATCTTAAAACTTATGAATCCACTATTCTTAAACCTTCTCTTGACAAGAGTCCCGGTCTCGCTCTCAAAGCCTCATCCTCAAAAAGGGTAGAGGTAAGTGACTTCGATAGCGATGACCATAATCCTTCTTATAACTTGCTCGAGAAGTTCCAAGAATTTTTAAAGGAAGAACTTGGGTCCCGAGATTGTAAAAGAAAGGGGGAACCCGTTCCAACGTGCTTTGGTTGTGGAGAACTTGGCCACATAAAGCCATATTGCCCAAACCGCAAGGAAAAGAAAAAGAAGGAACGAGCATACATGGCATGTGATTCGGAATGTTCTGGTGACGAAACTGGCACCTTATGTCTTATGGCTCATGAACGAAATGGAGAGGTAAGTGCTTCTAATTCTTTCTCATTTGAAGAATTACAAGAAGCCTTTCAAGAATTATTTGGTGAATTAAAGAAAACTTCAAAAATTGCCAAAGAGGCTAAGGCAAAAATTCATGCTTTGGAAGAGGAAAATAAATTTTTGGTAAATGATAATTTTGACCTCAAAAATAAAATTAAGGCAATGAATGAAGATTCTTTCTTTGACCAAAGTTCTACTTGTTCCTCTTGTGAGTTTTTAAAAGTTGAGAATGTAGAACTTAAGAGCATCATTGAAAAAATTAAGGTAGAATGAAGAGCCTAAGAAACTTTGTCAAGAAGTTAAGAATGATAAACCACCTAGAAGAACTAATAATCCTAGGTATAAAAAAATTAATTTTAGAAAGAATAAAAGTAACAATGTGAGACAACCTAGAATTGACTCTAGGATTTTTACAAATGGTAGAAATATTTTGAGACAACCTAGAAATGAGTCTAGGAATTTAGTTAATAATTCTATGAATAATGATCTTAGATCACCTAGAAAGTTTTTGGCTCAACCTAGGCATATGCATAATCCAAACGTAGTATGTCATTGTTGTTCTAAGATAGGACACATAGCTCCCGTTTGTTTTGCTAAACATAGGGACACTTCTTATAATTATGATTATGATTTTTATTTGCCTAACCTCCAAGGACCCAAAAGCTATTCGGTACCTCAATGGTATTACTAGATGCACAAAAGGGTGTGCTTGAAGACTACAAACTTGTAGTGGATGCTCAAAGCACGAAACCCAATGAACCGCATCAAGGGGGAAGCTCGTTTTACGATATTGTTGACAATTGATGCTCCAGGACATTTTCAAACATCGATGTTCAGTATCAAACATCAATGTTCAAGGAGTTCTTTTTTTTACAATTTTTTGAAGTGCTTTTTGCTAATGTCAAAAGGGGGAAGATATAAAGGTTATGCATAGATTGAGGGGAACTATTTCTAAATTGCATTTATTAAGGGGGAACATTTTTTAAGTCTCAAATCAATCCTCCTATGCATAACCCTGTCTTGTTTGCCATTATCAAAAAGGGGGAAATTGTTGAAACACGGGTTTATCACGTTTTCGTACTAAATTTGTGTTCGTTGTTATGACAGGTTTTGATAATGCCAAACCGCCGTGAACAAGACAAGTCATTGAATATACAATGCGAGAACAAAAGATGAGAAGAAAGAGAACAAGGGCCAAAAGAAGACCAAGAACGAAGACCGTAGTCTTAGTGTCGTTGAGTCGGTCACAATTGTGATCAAGATCGACCCAATCTTTACACCTTGGCTCTTTAGGCTAAAATTCTTTTCATTGCATTTCACATCATAAAAATGTTTTTCAAACATTTTTAAAACATTAAAAACACTTGGTGTTTGCCCAAACCAAAAACCAAGCCATCCGGCGTTCGGGTTTCAGAAACCGGCGTTCGGCATTCGGTTTTCGGCGTTAGTTTTTGGCGTACGAACTAATCAAGTGGTTTTCAAATTTTTATGATTGGTTTTTACTTCTGGGCACATTTAAATAGTTTTCCATCAAAAACACTTCAAAAACCACCTTTCGTTTTTTGTCGTTTGATAAAAACCATGCGAAACGGCATAAACTTGGCTAGCCGTGGTTTTTACTTAAATGAAGTGGTTTTCAAGTCTTTTTGTGTAGTAACTGTTTTTGAATTCATTTAAATGGTTCTCCAATCAAAACATCATGAAAACCACCTTTCGGTTTTGTCTTTTGGTAAAAACCACCTGTGTACGGCATTGACTTGGTCATCCGTGGATTTTACATTAACGACGTGGTTTTCAACATACAAAGCTTATTTTGACATCAAAATACATTAAATAATTGTTTTAAACACTTAGTTTTTACTTTGGAGAACTTTGCATTTTTCTGTCGGGTTTCAGTGCCGGTCGGCTAAGCCATGGTTCTAGACTAGCCATCTACCCAGCGATGGTAGATTTCACCCATGCATGGGAAAGTGATCTCGGGATTCCAGAATCATTTCACCCAGTGATGGGAGATATTACCCATCGATGGGTAAGCAGCCTTTCAGCCCAATTGAATTCCAGAACCATGTCAAACAGCGATGGGAAGCTCTACCCATCGCTGTTCAAGCCTTGGTACAACATTATCACAAGGCAGAATGCCTTTACCCAGCGATGGGAAGCTTTACCTATCAATGGGAACCCAGCGATGGGAAGGCTTAACCATCGATGGGAAGGCATGACCATTAGAAGTCATTTAAGGCTGATTCTTTCCTTGTTTGGAAGTCAACTTCCCACCCAGCGATGGGAAGCTTGTACCCATCGATGGGTAGGTGACCGTTGGCTTCAAAACTGAAGGGAAATTGGCTTACCAGCGATGGGTGAGTCCAAACATCGATGGGAGGCCAATATCCTGCAGATCCCAAATTTATTCAATCCCATAAATCAAGCCAATCACCCCTTTAATGTATTGGTCCGTTGGAGCCTACTTTGGCACTATAAAAAGGGGTGTTTGGGTCTGCTTTTCTCAGGAATTCACTTCACTTTATTCATATTATCATTGCATCCAAACAACATTATTTTCCATAGCTTTCTAGAGCCAATTTGTGAAGTTTGAGTTGTTCTTGAGCGTATATAGTTTACTCAACATCTACTCTTAAAGAGAGTTGTTCTTAGTGTTGTAAACACGTTTAGGGAAGCTTGTTTCCCTTAGTTGTACGAAGGAAAGGTATTTTCCTTCGGGTTGAAGTCTTGGAGTGCGGTATCTCCGAGCAAGTGTATTGAGGCTCGTGAGACTCGAGTTCTCATGTTGTAACGGTTTGTTAAGCACCCGTAAGCTTAACGGAAGTAGTGTAGCTCGAGAGAGTCTCTCGGGAGACTGGACTAGCCACACGTTGTGGTGAACCAGTATAAATCTTGGTGTGCTCCCTTTACTTCTTTACTTTATCCCTGTGATTTTTATTCCGCGAAAATCTATAAACATTCTCGTGCCTCACTATTCACCCCCCCCCCCTCTAGTGAAGGGCACTTATTCTAACACGAAGTAGGCTCATGTCCAAGGCTTCGGTGTCTGTGGCTTTCTGTCGGTGCCCTTCCACCATTCGTATGCCCCCTTGCGGAGCAGCTGAGATTCCAACCTTGGATGGTCTGTAATCGGTACATTCACCCGGTCCCCAAGGAACTCCTCTGCTCTGTTGTCCTTCAGAGTTTTGAAGGTGATGTGTCGGTGAGGTGGTTGAGGCTGCTAAAACATCGGCGCGTTCGCCATCTGCTGCAAAAATTGAGCCATGAAAGTCGGCATGATGTTCTCGGGCGGGTTCCCGAAGTTCTGATTATTTCCCGCGTTCAGTGGCACATTGGGCTGCCCAGCATTCTGCTGAGTTATGAAGCTAGACACCTCCGTCTCAGCATCGTTGTGGTCGTCACCCAGGTGTTAGGTGTTCTCATGAGTGTGCGTCAATGCATTACTCATTCTAAATTACACACATAAATTCCTAATCAGTCATTAGCACATAACAAACAAAGATATAAACTTATTACCTTCCCGGGGTTGATGAGTCGCAAGAGATGTGGTGCAGCTTTTGGAAGCCATCTATTTATGATCCGAAGATCGGTTTTAAAACCATATGCTCCGATACCAAAATGTAACACCCAACCCGCATAACCCGAATACTCGGATCAACGACCCGGGTTGCTACTAATTTGGTATCCAAACACCATTTAACTTTCAAAATAGTTCAAAACTATTAAATTGAAACAACGTTTAAATATCCATCGGAGTAAATCAAAACGGTTGCGAAAGCTTAATTCATAATTCAAAACACAACTTGGGAATCATGCGCAAAATAGTAATAAGATATTTAAATAAGAAGTAATAATTCAAAATCGTCGAACACCGCCATGCAAATCTCTGCCTCCTCATCGCCCCCCGAGATTGGCTCCAAGCTCATCATTTCCTAGATTACCCATGTGTAGCAAATAGGAAAAAGGCTACACGCTCAGCATTGAAGCTAAGTGAGAAATATCTAATATACAGCTATACCCATAGATGATCCAACTAGCCCATATCCTTATACGATATCATGCACACAACATGCTCAACACAATCATACTTCATACAGGATATAACACATGCAAACAATAACATCATCATTAAAGGGGTACAATTTACAAGATATAATAACAAACTCTTTCCTCTTTGTTTACTTTACTTTCTTTCTATACTCGGCTCTTAACCTATGCTAGGTAAAAGCTTAACTGTATATGACTTGCCTATGGGATTCATGACCTTCCCATTCGGAACGAAGGTCAAACTCAAAACAACTCGGGAGTTCCACGTTGGGTGGGTGAGATCCCTTTCCCCTTCGGAATGACAGTTCTTAGATCCCCGTGTACACGTTTTTACCCGGACAGTCATTGGACCCAGCAGGTACCACATGACTCTAACTTACTAACTTATGGCATAACTTGACATTATTTCCATTCAAGTAAGCTCCTAGAGTTCGGTCTAGGTATTTCATCCATTAATTACCAATAGTTCATAGCATACATGTTCATGCACCATACAACATAATTCATCTCATCCAACATACTCAATCAGCGGCCTGACCTTGGGTATTGACACCCATGTTTACCGTCATGCAACACACAAAGGCTTGGAATGGATCCTCGACTCAAACGACAAATACAGACCGGTTCAGGTACCTCACGGTACGCTTAGCGCTAGGGGCTACCGACCCCACGGTACCAAGGTACCGTCCCCACGGTACGGGGGTACCGATTGTGTCATCTGACCTACCTTACTGGTAGGCTGTCACGGTAGTCTCTACCGACCCGGCGGTACGGCATACCGCCCATCCGGCACCTAGGTGCCGTTTGGTGACAGGATACAGCAGAGAAGAACGAAACCGGGGAGGCTGGCAGTAGCCCGGTACCGTGCCAATGGTACCCCCTACCGTCTGTCGTGGTGAATACCAGACTTGCACCAGCTCCGTTTTCGTCCGTCAAGCAGCATTAGTTCCAGTAAATACAAGCATAACAGATCATACACCATCAATCCAACATTATCTAATCATTCTAACCCAAATCATGTTTTTCACATCCTAAACTACATAAATAAGGCATAATTCATGTATAGTCCAAATAGATCAACCGTAACGATTCTACGAACGTAAGATTCAAACCTACAAATATAACCATACGTTAGATGATCACGTACTCACCTCGAATTCGACGATTAAAAGCTACGAGACAATACCCACGAACGACGGCTTCGAATTCTCCTTCTTCCTTCTTCTTCCTTCTTCTTCTTCCTCCCTACTGTGCGCCGCTGCTGCTTCGATCGAGAGAGACGAGAGAGAGAGAGACGTGAGAGAGTGGGGAGGAGGTTACATAAATATGGTGTGGCGTGAGGGTTTGGGACGTGTAGGGAGTATATTTATACTTTTGGGGTTTTGGGCTCCGTATTAACTGAACGTACCTAGCCCAAACGCACTTTCCGAGCACACTGGCTCTAAATCCAAATCCGATTTCACTGTTAGCCCAAATGACCGAAAGTTTGCCCGGAAACGGGTAAATGGATTTTTAGTGAAAGGATTATGTAAGTTCAAGGATTTTTTTGAAAGGATTTGAAGTTTAGGTATCACTTTAAAATTCTAGTGAATGTTGAGGTACCATTACTGAAATTTACCCGATGATTGTGACACAAGTACAACAAATTTTGAAGTTCAAAACCAAAAGGCTAAAGATTCCAAAAGGTATCATTACAACACAACGTCTTAATCATTAAAGTGATTAAACGTAGTCTAAGTATTATGTGTACATCTTAAAGTGTTTGGTTTGACAAGAATCACAATATTTAACTTTAGCATTTTGAATACGTGTCTTACACTTTTTAAAAATAATTGAACGTATTTCTTTTATGTTCCAAATATGCAGAGACAAATGCAATTCAATATGAAGTAATGTGCTAAAATAATTTTATATCTTAAACATTTAATATATTATTTGTTTTTGAAAACAATGAGTGATAATAATGATCCATGTACTTGTTTTTTATAGAGACATAATCTTATTTATCTCGTTCTTATAACCATATTTTCTCATCATTAGTTTTTTTGTGACCTGTTACTTAAGAAATTAGGGGTTTTGTGATGGATATCGGGTCTAGCGCAAAATTATGAGATTTGCTCACCATGTGTTTGGTTGATTGTTCCAACAGGTTTAAAAACTTTGAGCCAGAAGGAGGCCCGTTTCCCCTTTGTTCTAACACGCTAGAAGATGGGTTGCACGCTAGGCTTAGATATGTGGGTCGATGATCGTGTCAATGGAGCCAATCATGGATATTTATAAGTTTATATACAAATCTATGAGACACTTACACCTCACAAATTAAATGTGTTCGATCTATTCAACGTTTGAACTACACACCCGCGCACTCATCTCCTAAAATAAAATTCAATTAATTCATTTTTAGGAAAAAAATATGTAATTTAGTATTTTTTTCTTTTCTAATTAAATTTGAACCGTTTTTTATTTTTCTAAATTTGGTAAATGAACATAAATTAATTTGAGTTGATTAATTTTATATTTATATTTTTCTTTCCAATCTAATTTTTTATATAGAAATAAAAAAGTACTATATACAAATTATTATTTTAAAACTATATCAAAAATTTTATAAACAAAATGTGATTAAAGTCTACCAATCTGTGATTAAAATCCAATTTACCTCCTCTCAGTGAATATCTGATCGGGTCTGAGGAGACTCTCGTAAGACTCATCCCTTTTTTTACTTTATTAAATAATTTATAAAAACTGGGCAATATTAAATAGCAATAAATTATCGAACAAAGGAACAAAAACGAAGAAACTTTTTTTGCCACCATATTAATGTGAGGTGATGTAATATAAAACACCATTGTGTCAAATTTTCAGCCGTAAAGCCTCCCTCTGCGCGCTCCCCTTCTCGCATTCCTCTTCATCGCTCCCACCGATTCTCCATCTATTTCCGGCGAAGAAGCAGAATCCCGGAGTCTCGTGTTTCTCACCTGCGATCGAACTGCACTGCGGAGCACCTCCATATTCTCCGGCGAAGCCACAGTCAGTCATGTGTTTCCTGTCTCTCGCTTTCTTCTTCTTCTTCTTCTTCTTTTTCTTCTTCTTCAATAAACTAATTTTATAAAATTAAAATTAATTTTGAAAAAGACCTCATAACTGCACTAACTCATTTCTTACATATATACTCCGTATATGGTTGCTTAAAACAAATTAAATTATACATCAAACCCTCCTCTTTCCTCTCCCCGCCGGAGTACGCTCTTTTCCGCTACCCACTTCCTGGCTTCAACCCATTCCCCTCTGTCGGTGTCTTCTTCGACATTGCCTTTATTCCTTTGCCCCAATCCATTTATTCATTATTCCATTACTAAATAATTTTAATTTAATCTAATTTTAATTTAATTTACAAGAGAATAAATGAGAAAGGAGTAGGGAGATATAGTACTGTGGGGGCCGCTGAGGGTGTGGATGGCGTGAAGAAAGGAGGCATGGAGGTGGGGAGACCACTGGAATTCACTCCGTATTTTAAGAAGAGGAAGAAGAAGAAAGGGGTGAAAGAAGAAGAAAAAGAAGGGATGGGAGGGGGGACAAAAGAAAAAAAAGAAATGGCGTCAAATTGAAACTTTTAAAATATATAAAATTCTAATTTTAACCCAAATGACCGGAAGTTTACCCGTAAATGGGTAAATGGACTTTTAGTGAAAGGATTATGTAAATTCAGGGATTTTTTTTGAAAGGATTTGAAGTTTAGGTATCACTTCAAAATTCCAGTGAAAGTTGAGGTACCATTACTGAAATTTACCCGATGATTGTGACACAAGTACAACAAATTTTGAAGTTCAAAATCAAAAGGCTAAAGATTCCAAAAGGTATCATTACAACAAAACGTCTTAAACGTTAAAGCGATTAAACATAGCCTAAGTATTATGTGTACATCTTAAAGTGTTTGGTTTGACAAGAATCACAATATTTAACTTTAGCATTTTGAATACATGTCTTACACTTTTTAAAAATAATTGAACGTATTTCTTTTATGTTCCAAATATGCAGAGACAAATGCAATTCAATATGAAGTAATGTGCTAAAATAATTTTATATCTTAAACATTTAATTTATTATTTGTTTTTGAGAACAATGAGTGATAATAATGATCCATGTACTTGTTTTTTATAGAGACATAATCTTATTTATCTCATTCTTATAACCATATTTTCTCATCATTAGTTTTTTAGTGACCTATTACTTAAGAAATTAGGAGTTTTGTAATGGATATTGGGTCTAGCGCAAAATTATGAGATTTGCGCTATATTGAGAATAATTAAATGAATTGAAATTGTGATTTAATTATGCTCCATTTTCACATATGTGCAAAGACTTCATTTGTTAATATTTTTTTTGCAGATTCTCTTATCTTCACCAAAAAAGATCAAACTAACCCAATTAGATGACAAGGTAAATTCTTTAGCTTCAAAGTCCATGCTAATGAAAAGTCAAATCTCTAAGATTCAAAGAGAGGAAACAAATCAAAAAAAGACAGCCCAGAGTCATCCAAGTATTAATGGTGCATTTGAGAGCATACCACCGGTAACCCGTAAATTTCATAATTGCTTCTTAATTTTTAGTTGCACTACTTTTTTGATTAAAATTTAATGAATTTAAATTATAAATACTCAGTTAGGAGTATGTTGCAAGCTATACTTAAACCTTCCTACGAAGCGTCTAGTCACTCATGCAAAAGTGTTTGGACAAGGCGTATTGCTACATGGCAAACCACTAAATGAGGCACAAGCAAGGGTGTGTGTGCAGGAGATAATCTTGGGTGAGGAAAATTCAATGGTACCATATGTGACTGATGAAGTTCAAGTTTTATCTTCATCGATTGGTACCTATATTGCTTGGCCAAAAAATTTGATTGAGATAGAGGAGCCTTCTGAGGTATGACTTTAGAGAAAATTTGATTGAGATTGGTACCTAATCACTTTAGAGAACAAAACTAAGAGCCACTAGTCTATATACATTCATCTTCGTATTAGTGTCTCTAAATTGTGATGTGATCATGCTCCATGTTCATGTGTATATACTTATGTTTGCTATTAAAATTTATCAGATGCGCTTATCTTCACACCAAAAGAATACGAAAGCATCCAAAGCAAAAATGGAGAAAATACAGGAAAAGAAGGCAACTGAAACTTTTGCAAAACGAAAAGGGAACCAAATGATTAAGGTATCCAAACGAAAGGAAGAAAGTGCAAGGCCTATATGTGATAGCTTTGGGCCATCTACATGGGATGAAAACCACCTATCACATTATAGATGCTACTCAAAAAGAGCCAATGGTTCACATCACTAGTGATATTATGCGACATGAGATTTACTTTTTCATCTCAAAAGATGATTTAAAAGATTTCATGGAAATGAAGGCTTTAAATGTTTCTATTCTTCAATATTGGATCTGGTATGTAGAGAGTGATCCCTTGCATTTAAAAATTAAATTTTAAATGATTTGAGATATTGGATTGATAGAAATATTTATAAGTATTTAATTGATTTTTATTTTGTCCAGGGTTCTTTATGATCGGTTCGAGTTATGTGGAAAAAAGACATATCGATTTCTAGATCTTGGAGAGATTTCTGTAAAGAGTCACAATGGTAAGAGTATTCTTGAAATCAATAACAATCGCATCCGTTATGTTGAAAATACCTTGAAGGATGACTCTATAGAATGTTAGTTGGCACCCTTTGATGCAGGATAAGTGCATAAAACAAGAAATGCAATCTCTTTCCAATAATGTCATAATTTTTTTACTAATATTTTAAATTATGTTCGTAGGTCACATTGGATGTTTTGTGCAATTGTTCCAAAATATGCAACTATTTATTGCTTTGATTCGGTTCAGGATGCCGAATGTCGCAAAGTTGATCTCAAACATATAATAAACTCGTAAGCTAATGATAGAACAACTTTTTAATGCAAAGAGTTAACAACACTCTAATACTGATGTTATATTTATAATCTTAAAGGGCATTTTTCAACTTAAAGTACCAAGGCAAAGCACATTACGTACAACTTAGGAAGGTTCACCCAAGGTGGATAGATGTGAAAGTAAGTATGTTATTTGTTTTTTGTGAAGCATGGGTAAGGTAAATATTGATGTTTGTTATTTTATAGTGTTGTATACAGGACAAACAAGTTGAAGGTGGTTATTTTGTGATGAGGATGATGTATGATATCATGGTCCGAGCAACATTACCATGTATTGATAAAGTAAAGTCACTGTTATATATATTTAGTGTTTTTTATTTTATGCAAAAAAAATTTAATTGAAGGCTATGTTATTAATGTAATTTTATTAAATATTGATAGAGTTTTGGCAATGACGCATCACCTTTTCAAAGGAAGGACATCCATGAAATAAGATCAATGTTTTGTGCTCACTTGAATTCAAAATATAATGAGCTAATTCAATACACTCTAGAAGATATACGATCAGTATTCGGCTTCGCTAAGTAAAAGACAATTTGAATTGATGATGTTCTTCTCATGGCAGGTATGTTTTCCGATTCAATTATATACGGACTATTTGTTTGACATGTAAATGACAGAAAATTCTTAGCTAGGAAGTTGTAGACCTGTAGTCATGTTCCATTGCATAAACATGAACATGAAAATCAACCGCTGTGATTGAATTTGTCCATGGCTAAATTCATGTAGTACTATACTTTATATACTATTAATCACTTAACACAACTAGTCATGTCCAAAGAAGTATGAATTGACTTTTGCCTCCTCCAAGAATCTAAAATTATGCCGTAAAAAACTATTGCAGGGTATTATTGAGAGAGTTTTTGTTCCTCTCATTTTCAATATGCTATTAGATTTAGAAAAAGGGAATGGTGAAAATATAAGAAGTACATGCATAAATGCTCTTGCATCAATTTCAAAGTGGATAGACTGGAAGGCATACTATGGATTACTTTTGAGATGCTTTCATAAGATGACTCTACAACCTGACAAACAGAAGATGTTAATGCGGCTTACATGTTCCATACTTGACCAATTCCATTTTTCAGAAGCAAATTTTGTTTGTGAAATTAAAGGTTCTACAGAGAATATTCCAAATCCTGGCACCAGTAAAGAACCATCTAAATTGCCTGCAACCTTTCCTAAATTTGTTGATCCTTATAAAATTCACAGTTCCTGAAATTTTAGCTATTTCTCCAAGTATTTCTTAGTGGTGTAAGAATAATGTTTGATTTGGTTTGATATTGGTAGAATTGTTTGTTGAATAAATGTTTAATTTCACATTTGATTTCATTTTGTTCTAAAATACTTGGTGAAGTGGCTATTTATTTGATACTTGTTTGATCATAAATGGAGGGAGATCATGTATTTGTTGTCATATGTGCAGGTGTATTCAAAAGCTGGTTTTGAACACTCTTCTAAGGCGGTAAAAAATCAGGGGCAGACTTGAAGCTTAGAGGATGCATGACTTTGTGTTGTAGCTAACTTTTTGTTGCAATATGGGGTACAATATCAAGATTTGGTTTGCTACACATAATGATAATTCTTGAGATAAAATATTATTTTTGGATGTTTTTTGGGATACAATATTAAGTAGAAGATTTTATTGGATGTTTATTTGTTATCAAGTTTTAGTATACTGAATCTGAAAACTTTAATTTTTGTATTATTTTAAGCAGTATGAAAGTACGATTAGTATCACATTATGATTTAAATAAAGTATGTATGGAATTTGAAAAGGGTACTACTCTTACACAGCGGATATTTATGTTTTTACATAGCGGATATATCCATCATATAAAGTATTTGGCGTTGTTAATCTCCGCTTACACAGTGGATAAAAATCCACTGTTGTTTTTGCAACCATTACACAGCGGATAAATATCCGCTGTATGAAACCCCTTGGAGTTTTTTATGTAGCCTTACACAACGGATATTTATCCGCTGTGTAATCAAGAGCATTTTTTCATAGCCAATACACAGCGGATATTTATCTGCTGTGTAAACATAAAACCTTTCCCACCGGCTAGATACATAGCGGTTGGTTTCCGCTGGGAAAGGTCAAATTTATCCGCTGTGTATTCCTTCTTCTGTAGTAGTGTCATTATCAAAAAGGGGGAAATTGTTGACCATTGTGTTTTGACAATGGCAACCATGCACATGGGATGAGCTTTAGATCTGGATCTTTTCATGTGGATTGCCTAGCACGTTGCTTAGAGATTCAAAACAAGATTTGAAGATTAAAGGTTTTCTAGATTTTTATTTCTTTTGAGTCTTAGTTCATGTTAAAGTGTTTGGCACATCTTTATTCTTCAAATACTTTGTTTTTCCTACAAGAATTCCTCTTTGATTATTTTCAAAACTCTTTCTCAAACCCTTTCTTCAAAAATGTTTCTTCCCAGATTTTTATTCGAATAAATTGAGATTTATTCGAATAAGAGGGACTTCTGCAGATTGCAGTTCAGTCTGTTTTAATCGAACAAATGCTTGTTTTATTTGAATAAGGGCTGATTCCAGTTCTTCCAAAGTTTTGAAAATTATTCGAATAAATGGCTACTTATTCGAATAAGTAGGCTCCCAGTTTTGCAGTTCGTTCTGTTTTATTCAAATAAATCCAGTAATTATTCGAATAAGCCCTGTGTTTTCAAAAATCATATGTTATCCAAACTATTCGAATAAATTGTGTTTTATTCGAATAAATTGACAGTTTTTAACAACAAACGATCAATTTTTGAATTCCTTTGGAGGTTTTCTCAACCCCATCCTTATTTAATATAACGTGTTCCGTTTTTCAAAAGATAAGAACACCTAAGAATGTTAGTTCCATATTGTGTTGGCATTATTTTTTGACAAATGAATAGATTTACCTAGAATTATTTTATATATTTTATTTAGACTTAGAGTTCTAGCATGTGAAGAAAGAGAAAGAGGAAAGAGCTTGAAGAAAGAAGTCTAATCCTACTTGGTTTACTATTCTTGAGGAGGAATGCATGGTTAAGACTCCTAAGCACACTCTAACAAAGTTAATATGCTCTATATATTATCTTCACCCTCTCTTAGGTTTTGGACGTGAAAAATTATGAAGAACCTGAATCAAGTTCGATCAAAAAGAAAAACAAGGTGCAAACTTAGATAGTGCAAAGTTTCTGGACAGCCGCACAGATTTGATCATCGCCAGAGATCCGACCGTTGGGTTTTGCTGAAATTTTCAGAGAGTGTTGTCTTCAACGTGTTAAAATTTCACGTCAATCGGAGTTACGGATCTTTTGTTATCGAAGTTACAATCTACACACTGTTGCTGATTTTTTGCAGAAAACACTGCCCTGGTTTTCTCGATGGTTGGAGTACCAAATCTTGTTTGATCGTGCTGAAATTTTAGGAGGAGTCTAAGGACTCGTGAAGCTTCAATCTGAACGGTGGAGATCGAATTTCAACGGTTCAATCTCGAGTTATGAGCTTATGAACAGACTGCATATTTTTGTAAATCAAGAAGAATCTTTATTTGAAGGTGTATTGGAAACTACGTCCTTGAAGAAGATCTTTGAGAAGGTGTAACAAGCCGTGGAGATAGACGCAAACCGAGTTCGTCGTCAAGTCATTCGTAAGTAGACAAATCAATACATTAGAAGGTTCTGTTGTGATTGATTGTGTAATTCTTACGGTGATTTAGTGGAAGGGCTATTACACGGACGTGGGCCTTGCAGACGTAGGAGAATTTGCTCCAAACTGCGTGATCAATTCTGGTGTCTTGCTTGCTTTTTTTTACTTCATATTTTACGTGTGTGCTTGTGACAGAGAAGTGTTATAGCACACTGTCCGGCATCTGTTACTGGACAGTGCTGCAGCGTCTTCTCTACAGCATAGTTGATTGTTTTGTTTGCATAGCTCTTAATTGGTGATTTCCGCTGCACCCCCACGAACTTTCAATTGGTATCGGAGCATGGCAAGCTTAAGTTATTAGCTTGATTGATCTATCACCATGAGAGATATTCAAGAAGGTGCTAATGTCTTTAGACCTCCACTATTATGCGGTCATGATTATACTTTTTGGAAGTGTCGAATGAGAGCCTTTCTCAAGTCTCTTGGTGGACAGGTTTGGAGAAGTATAGAGGTTGGATGGTTAGCTCCTACTATGACCAATACAGATGGAGAACTAATTCAGAAACCTTACGAAAGATTTAGCAAGAAAGAAAAGGATGCTGCAGAATCGAATGATCAGGCTTTGAATGCAATCTTCGGAGCGGTTAACAGAAATCAGTTCCGTCTTATCTCAAATTGCACAGAGGCTAAGAGAGCTTGGGACATTTTGCTTATTACTCATGAAGGCACTACAACAGTCAAGACAGCCAAACTTCAGATCGTGATGTCTAAAATTGAAAATCTTAAGATGGAGGATACTGAGTCTATCACAAACTTTCATGGGCGAGTTAGAGAGTTGGCAAATGAGGCTGAAAGGCTTGGTGAACCAATTACAGAACACAAGTTGGTGTTGAAAGTTTTACGTTCTCTTCCAGAAAAATACTCCATGGATGTCAAAGCTATTAGACAAACACAATCTCTAAATATTATGTCTCTTGACGAGCTGATGGGGAACTTAGAAACCATTGAGTTGGAGATGCATGAAGATCTATGGCGTAAAAAGCAGCATGTCATCCTCGTTGAAAAAGAGAAGCAGTGTGTTAAAGACAGTGCTAGAACAGCTTTTCCAACTTTCCATAGTGTTGATGGTGACTCTGATAGTGACGTAGATCCTAGGGAGATGCTTATAATTGTTGAAGAAAAATTTCAAGAGTCTCTACAGGTCAACAAGAAAAAATGTTTGGAAAATGATAGCCTCAAACGTGAACTTTCTAAATCAAAACGCGATGTGGAACAACTCATCAAAGAGTTACAGAGATACAAAGGTAAAGTTACAGCAGAGGATGACACAGAGGATGATACAGATGATGACACGGAGGTTGACACAGCAAAAGAGCTAGCTATTCTCCAAAAGAAGTGGGTAGAACTTGTTCAAGCCAACCAGAAAACTGTTTTGGAGAATCAACAGCTTGTTGCCAAGCGCAACAGACTAAAGGAGAGTATTTCAGAACTAGAAAAGAAGATTGAAGACTTAGAAGGGAAACAATCAGATCCCAAGTATGAATTAAATAAACTCAAAAACTTTCACAAGTGGATGAGAAGTGCTGGAGCAAAAGCTATTGAGGAACAAGTGAACGTTTCAAAATTTTATGGAGACAAGACGGGTCTCGGATTTTCAGGTTCTGAAAGCAATAAGACTCCACTTGACTTGTTTGTTGATCGAAGAAAGGAAATTGCCCAAAAAGTCTCACAAGGAAGGAAAACAGAAGCTGCTGCATCTGCTGGAACATCTTCTGCCAAACCCGCTGAAGCATGTAATGAAGCTTCTGCTGGAACAATTTATGCAGCACCTTATGCAAAAAGGCAAAGAGTTGTGACACAATCTAGTATGAGAAGACACAAGGATCATTATGCTAAACCTGAAAGGTATTCTTATACTAATGTCTATGCTAATTATGTTTGTTTTTGCTGTGGAAAAAGGGGACACATTCAGAGGAAATGCAAGATTTTTAAAGAGCAAAGACACAGAAAAAAGAATGTTACAACAAAGATGATTTGGGTACCTAAGATTCAATACAAAAAAGGTGATAATCCTTGTGTGAATGATGTTGCTTCTGATCAATGCCATGTTAGTAGTGCGAGCTTGCATCAAGAAGAAAAGAAGATAGATCGTTGTGCTGTTAACAATGCTGAATCATCTCATAAGTGTGATGAAGTGACACCTCCTACTCATGAGAGTGTGAAGTTTATGGCTATGAAAAAACGGGCATTGGGCATGTGTAAAAGAGCATTTGATGGGAATCGGTTTGGTATACTCAGATCCCGCTTGGGTCTGTGCACACCTATCTCTTCCTGATTTAGAGGATGCTCTAAGAGGTGTTTCATCTCCAGCGTGGAATACCTTAGAGCATAGATGTTTTTGCTGGTTGCATAAATGTCTTTATTTTTGCAGATTGTTACTTTTTCAGATGCATCGTCCGAGGGGGAGTCGCTCAAGTGTGGCAAAGGTTGATGTGACAAAGTCTAGGTCTATTTTTGTGTTCATTATTGTAATGCTCAAGCTCTCTTGAATGTTACTCTTCTCCTTTTGCCCCCATAATCTTAATAAAACCTTTGGCATTTTTTATGCAAAAAAGGGGGAGAAGAGGTTCAAAACAGCTGAGATTCGTTTTTGTCAAAAAATTGCCAAAGGGAGAGATTGTTAGTTCCATATTGTGTTGGCATTATTTTTTGACAAATGAATAGATTTACCTAGAATTATTTTAGATATTTTATTTAGACTTAGAGTTCTAGCATGTGAAGAAAGAGAAAGAGGAAAGAGCTTGAAGAAAGAAGTCTAATCCTACTTGGTTTACTATTCTTGAGGAGGAATGCATGGTTGAGACTCCTAAGCACACTCTAACAAGCTTAATATGCTCTATATATTATCTTCACCCTCCCTTAGGTTTTGGACGTGAAAAATTATGAAGAACCCGAATCAAGTTCGATCAAAAAGAAAAACAACGTGCAAAATTAGATAGTGCAAAGTTTCTGGACAGCCGCACAGATTTGATCATCGCCAGAGATCCGACCGTTGGGTTTTGCTGAAATTTTCAGAGAGTGTTTCCAACACAGAGGTCTTCAACGTGTTAAACTTTCACGTCAATCGGAGTTACGGATCTTCTGTTATCGAAGTTACAATCTACACACTGTTGCTGATTTTTTGCAGAAAACACTGCCCTGGTTTTCTCGATGGTTGGAGTACCAAATCTTGTCTGATCGTGCTGAAATTTTAGGAGGAGTCTAAGGACTCGTGAAGCTTCAATCTGAACGGTGGAGATCGAATTTCAATGGTTCAATCTCGAGTTATGAGCTTCTGAACAGCCTGCATATTTTTGTAAATCAAGAAGAATCTTTATTTTGAAGGTGTATTGGAAACTACGTCCTTGAAGAAGATCTTTGAGAAGGTGTAACAAGCCGTGGAGATAGACGCAAACCGAGTTCGTCGTCAAGTCATTCGTAAGTAGACAAATCAATACATTAGAAGGTTCTGTTGTGATTGATTGTGTAATTCTTACGGTGATTTAGTGGAAGGGCTATTACACGGACGTGGGCCTTGCAGACGTAGGAGAATTTGCTCCGAACTGCGTGAACAATTCTGGTGTCTTGCTTGCTGTTTTTTACTTCATATTTTACGTGTGTGCTTGTGACAGAGAAGTGTTATAGCACACTGTCCGTCATCTGTTACTGGACAGTGCTGCAGCGTCTTCTCTACAGCATAGTTGATTGTTTTGTTTGCATAGCTCTTAATTGGTGATTTCCGCTGCACCCCCACGAACTTTCAAAGAACACTTTGAATTAAATTCCTTTGATTAAACAAAGAGATTCATTCAAGTCTACATCTTCTCACTCAATATTCAAGTTCTTCATTTGAGAAATCTTTCTTCACCTTGAGTTGGAAAGTTTTTGTGTGCCATACACTATACGGTGATTGTAATCTACAACAAATCCGCTCTTGTTTGAGGAGTATTATCCGCTGTGCAAATTGTTTGTAAGTTGTATTATTGTAAAAAGCTTGAGTTTGAAACAATTCTAGTTTTTGGATTGAAATCCAAAGTCTTGTGAAATCAAGACTTCGGTGGAAAGGTTAGAGGCTTGTGAAATCAAGTTCTCGAGTTGTATTCAGATTGTTAAACTTCGTTAAGTTTGTTAGACAAATGTGCAACTCTAGAGGGGGGGTGAATAGAGTTGTTTTCAAGAATGTGCGTTTTTCGCGTAAAAAAAAATTATCGCAGGAATAAGTAAAGAGAGTAAGGGAAAGAAGAACACCGGGATTTATACTGGTTCACCACCTCGTGGCTAGTCCAGTCCTCTGAGAGACTCTCTCGAAAGTCCTACTAATCTTCAAGCTTCAACGGGTGCTTGAAAAACCGGTACAACTTGAGAACTTGAATCACACAAGCCTCACTTTCTTACAACAACAAGACTTGAGTCACACAAGTCTTTTGAACAACACTCAAATGAGATTGAGTTTACAACACAAGAATGAATGCTCACACAATTGAGCAAAGTAGTGTTTGAAAGATTTAAGCTCTATGGATGACAACTTCTATAGCACTCANAGGCTGAGGAAAATAAAGCCGTTGAAGAAAGCTGATGTTCTGTACCAGAGAGAATTAATCGATTAAATTAGGAATTTTAATCGATTAAAGTGTACAGAAGCGAAAAGCCTGAAAAGAAAACTGAATCATAATCGATTAAATGAAGACAAATAATCGATTAGGAGGTTCGGTACTAACTAATCGATTAATGGAGGATAAATAATCGATTATTGATCAAGGTTGAGCAGCCCAACGAAAGGCTTAAAAATCGATTAAATTGAAGCAATAAATCGATTAGGAGGTTCTGTCCAAGCTAATCAATTTTTTTAATAGAAAAAATCGATTAAGAATTCAAACCTGAGAAATTGCGCTGGATCTAATCGATTATTTTAAAGGATATAATCGATTAAAATGAAAATAATGCGCAAACACAAAGGGCCCAAACCAAGTGCGATTGGAAGCACTTTGGCTTCTAACTCGTTGTTTGGGACAACGAGAATAACAAGGCACGCTCCTTTTGAAAAATCTCCCTATTCAATGAATTTGAGTAGGGGAGAGAAAAAGAGAGTCCAAAAAATTATTTTGTGTGTCAAACAATACACGAAAAAATATTTAAAGTATATTTTTCTCACCAAAGAAAATTGTGTAACTTAAAAAAAATGTTTTAAAGAAATTTTGACTCACTTATTTTGAAACTGACTCACTAAAATATTTTAGACAGAAAAAAAATGATTTTTCAACTGACTCAAAAATAATTTTTATCCCTCAGAAATTAAATTGTTTTGTGCAAAAGATATTGTCATCCTTACAAGAATCCTAGACTCAATAAAAATTAAGAAGTCTTCGGAGTCTTCACATTACTTCAAAAAAACTGCGTGGGGGTGAGCGTTGATTTTTATCCCGTAACTTTCTTGATACGCCTCTTTTCTTTTCTCGGTACGAAAAGTAAATTTTCGATCATCGTTTGAATTTCATCATCCTGTTTGTCATTTATCAAAACATGAAAATATTCCAGAAAAAATAATAAAGGGGTTTGAACTCATGTCCAACAAAGTTTAACAAGGATTAGTGGAATCTCGGGCACGTTTGCCTTGGGGACTGGACGTAGGCATTAGGCCGAACCAGGATATATCGTTGTCTCCTCGCTTTCATTATTTCCGTTAATCTTTTATTTTATTTCTGTGCTTTTTCTTCTTTAAACGAAAAATTTTATTATTTTCGTGAACACCTCTATTCACTCCCCCCTCCTCTAGAGGTGTGAAAGGCGTCTAACAAGTTATAGATCCATTTTGGAGGGATAGTTATAGATCCATTCAGAATCAGCATTTAGTACGGGTGGGAGAGTTATAGATCCATTTAGGAGTTCACTTAGCCCAAGAACGACAAAAGCTCTCATATGTTCCCAAGATTGGTTAAGGTCAAACCCAATAGATATTCAGAATCAAACTGATATTGCATTGGATGAGTACAAAAAGAAACTCAAAGAAATTGAAATAGGTAAATTTGTTTTCATATAGTCTAAATATTATTTTATTTTGGTAACTAACTCTCCATATAAATGTATATTTTAATGTAATATTTTTATTTTTTGTAGATGAATTTGCAAATACTCCAAAGTATTTGGAAGAATAAATTCAAGATTATTAAAATGGTAACATGATATATTTTCATGCTTGTGTTCTTTTTACTTGTTCTTCTTAGAAGTATAGAAATATTGCACAATTGCATTTGTTTATTGTATGTTTTCTTTTTGGTCACAGGATTGCTGTAAACTTTTGGTTGTGAACAATTGCAAGCATTTTGATTTTATTGTATGTTTTCTTTTTGCTCACATGACTGCCAGTGAACATGAAAGACCTACGGGACACTTTTGATTGTGAACAATTGCAAGCATTTTGATCTTATTTGCCTCTAGGATATAGTACTAGGATATTGTACTATTGCACTTTAAATTCTATAACATATAAGGATGACATATTTGGTGCTTAATATTTCTCTGTAATATTTGGTAACTAACTCTCCATTTCATTGTGACATTTTAAGGTTTAAACTAAGTGTATGTATTATTCTAAATTTATACTGAACCATACCAAACCGATTTTTTGGGATCGGGATCGGTACAACGTAATATTCTATACTGAACCGAAATATTTGGTACTGTATTGGTACGAGTTAAATACCATACCATACCATACCATGCTCATCCCTAGGCACAACCATGTCACGTTTTATTCATTATACGTGTTTGTATATTTGAATGTATGATTGAATGATGTTCGCTAGTGTATGTGTGCGGCACATACCATAGGTGAGACCACGTTTAAAATCCCTCGTAATAATAGGTGTATGTTTATATTTTTGGATGAGTTGCAGAGAGATTAGGTGTATGTTTATATTTTTTGAGAGGGTATTTTTAGTTGAAAATTTAATTTTTTTAAAATTGGGCAACGACTAGATTTTGGACCATTGGGGGTGGGATGCAACGACTCTCTTCTTTGCCCTTCATCGCGTTAAATGTTTAACGCATCAAGGACAGGGGCGGATGCACTGAATAGGAGTTCGGGGGAAATGTCCCCTACTAATTTTCTCTAATAAGGTAAATTATTTTTTTATTTTTAAATTTTATGTATATATGCCTACAACAAAAATTAATATGACCTCATCTAAATAGGTTAAATTTAAATTTTTTGTTTGATTTTTTAGTAAAGTGTATTTTATTGCATATAAGTAATTATTTATGAAACAAAATTTCACATTACCTTTTAAACATATTTTACGTTCAATAAATGTTTAAAGTAAAATTCATGATTTTTCGTCATTTTATATAGCTTATTAAAAAATCCGAGGGCACTGCCGTCGGGCTTCTAACCAATGGCTTATATATAGACACACACACACATATGCACACTCCAAAATCATTATAATAATTAATTAGTAACCATTATTTCAATAATATATGCAACTTTTGATTTATATACAAGAATAAAAAGTATATTAGAATTCAAATACTAACATCTAACAATAAGTCGATCATCCAACATTTTGTGCTTAAAAACATGAGTTATAAAAATATCCAAATGTATCTAAATTGAAGAGATATGAACAAATTAATGTGTGCAAAAAATTCTGTAGAGCTAGGTTGACACCATCTCTACAAGCTTGAACCAATTGACACCATCTCTACAAGCTAGGATATCCTTCTTTGATTGACATTGCACCTACAGGTTCCAAACTAATTGTGGTATTAATTTTTCATCATAGTGTAAACATATGATATACTGTTGTTCTCAAATGGGAAAAGTTGATAGGCAGTTTATATGACAATGCTAGAGAGATTTAGACAACCATACATGTTTCTTTCCTTGCTTTGGCAGAGCAAGTTTAGTCCGAACCTCCTTGAGTTCCTTTACCCGAAACTTGGCCACCTTGTCCTATAAAATATAAATGACACCAAAAACTTGCAATTATCAAGGTTAGAACCACAATTGAAAAACTAATAACAATTGATGAAAAGGAATGCTCATTCTGGAATATTGCACAGAAAATAATAAAAAAGAACGATGAAAAGGAAAAGGCATTGTTAAAAGGGTGGTGAAACTACATGTTCAAACAAGAAAGAAACATCATATTTTCTGTCTTTAAAAAAAATACAAGCCTAACCACAGTTCACAACTAAGTAAAACAAAGTTGCTTTAGTAACTATTCTTCCACCGGAAGCAGGCACAGGATGATGAAGGACACATCAACAGTAATTCGTAAATCTAGTTGCATAGAAATTAAAATTAGAGAAAATGAACCATGATCTGCCATTAATTCTAAACAACAAAAATTTGTGATTTAATGGCTACTAACATTTATTATAACGTCGTTATTACTTCACTCACGACCCCATACTAAATTCTTCACCATTCTACTAACATGGAAATTATAATATCTACCATATAATGAAATAAATTTGTTTCCATTAACATATGAAGCATTAACACTATTTGATTTGACGGATGGGATGGGATGGGATGTGATGCGTATGATGGAGGGAGGGAGAGGGACTCTAGTATACGTCATTTGGAATTACCAAAATACTTTAGGAAAGGGATGCTATGGGGGAAGCTTCCCCTGAAATATTAATTTAAAAAATTCTTCTGCTCCTTCACTTGTTTTCTTCCCACAAATCCCCTCCCATCCGCAACCCGCACCACTCAAACCAAACAGAGGTCAGTTGGCATGTAACAATAAAATTATTTTTCTTTACATTAGCTTTAAGCACCATGATTTGCAGCACACAACCAAGAGTTCAAATCACAACCATCCAACATAACCAAAATCCAAAGTATTCATTAGATAATCTGTTCATCTAAAACCTAACAAACAAAAACTAAACCAATAATGTCAGTGTCTAGAGTTTGAAAAGTTTCTTGTTCAAACCATATAATGTACTTACATTACTAACTGCAAACTTCATGACGGGTATGCAAGTTCTCCATTCGTGGTTGTTAGTTTTGTTCAAGGTATGCAAGGAGTGCTTTCTCTTTCAACATTCAAGAAAATAAAATGGAAGTGGCAATTAAAATGATTTAAGTGATTTCTGCTTCATTGGTTATCCTTTTTGAATAAAAATAGGTATAAAACATGCATTGATGATCCTTTTTTTAATCCTTTAGAAATTAAAATTCTTTTAAAAAAATCAGTTTAAAACATGGATGTGATCCTTTAAAAATCAGTACAAAATATGCATTGATTACTTTTTGTAATCCTTTAAAAAATCAGTATTAACATGCATTAATTTCTAATTTAAAACTTCAATAATCTTTTTTATATATAACATTCAAGAAAATAGCATACAACATTAACTGCAAGGTTTTGAGAGGCAAAAATGGGCCTTAAGGCAGTTGAGAAAAATGCCTTGAGGCGTAAGCCTTGGCAAAAATGGGCCTTAAGGCGGAATGAGGCGTATGCCTAAGTTCAATTTGGAAAAATTAAATCTAAAATGAATTACCCATGGTAAATACAGAATACATAATCCATAATCATGATGATGAAATCTAAATGCTTCAGTTCCTGACTTTACAAAAAGTAGTATCTTATCTTAGTTTTTAAAATACAGAAAAAGAGAGAATTACTCCCAAAAAAACAATAACATAAAATACAAGGTCACAAACGCCTCAAATCCATCTCCAAACATGATAAAATGGATAATGTTTCATGATTTTTTCTACTTCATAACCAAAATTTGACAAGTTTACTTTCACTACATAATACAATGAAATTTGTAGTTAAGCGACCTTAATACAAATCAAAGAAAAACCATAGATGAAGAGGGAGAGTAGTACTAGGAAAAGGGACAAAAATTTGAAATTGGAATATAAACTTGAAAAAATTGAAGGTGAAGTAATTAGAACATGAAGCAATTTTTGTCTAGAAAAAATTGAAGGTGAAGTAATTAGAACATAGCCTAATGCTTGAGTGTTCCTCTGTAACCTTAGGGTTAAAAAACAATATCAGAAACTAAAATTTAAAAAATCAGAAAGAAAATATCACCATTATATTTCTTCATACATTCAACCTATTGAACACATTACTTCACACAAAAAACTCAGAAAATAAAATTCATACCGTCAAACCATTCACAACTGCTTTTTGGATATAGAATCATGCCCCAATGCATAAATTTAGGAACAACAACTTTAATAATTAAAGGGTATATAAGATGTGAACTAAAAGAATGAAGGGGCCGGTGTCATACTTGAATGAATGAAGGGGGCTAAACGGTTGTGAAGAGGATCGATGATTCTCGCCAAACGATTGATCGAGAAGAAGCTGTTGACCAAAGAACGAATCTACGCAATGGAGTGTGAATAACGACGCGCGCTAAAGGACTGAGAGCTGAACGAAAAGGCTTTCCTCGTTCATGAATTCACTCGATTAGTGAATTCACTCGAACAAAAAGGATCGAATTGCTTCCTCGATTACTTGATTTCTTAGAGGAGCCGGCTGGAATAATTCGATCGATGACATGTACGTACCTTAGATCGGTGATGCACGATGGGGGCGAGCGTCGGATTGGATTTCTTAGATTTTTTTAGGCGGATGAATAATTTAGGCGCTGGAATGAAAAAGTGAGCGCTGGGGAATTATTTTCTGTAAATTTCGTCCATTGAAATTTTTTAAGGAAAAATTATCCAAAATAATCCCAACTTTACCCGATCTTTCAAAAATAATCTCACTTTTTACTGTGATGCATAATAATCTCAACTTTACTGAAATTTGTCAGTTTTGGGTCGCCGTTAAGTTTCTAACGGAGGGTTAACGGAAATGCCTATTTAGGCAACAAAATGAAAGTTGGGATTATATTTGATGAATTTTCATTTTTTTTTTATTTTTTTTAAATTTTTCATTTAAATTTTTTAAATTACTTTCTACCTCCATCGTCATTTTTTTTTCTTTTTTTAAAGATTAGTCTTAGTTTAAAAAATAAAAATAATAGATATAAAAAATGAAAAAATGAGAAATGTAACTAGAATGATACAAAAATAATAAAACAAATAAAGTAATCAATGGAAACTAACTTGAAATTGGTAAAAGTAAAATAAAAATATACGGGTGGGTTTTAATATTTTACGCATTATACAAAGTATTAACATATCACTTCTTATTTTTTTAGA